GTAAGGAGTTAAATTAGCCCCACTAGAGGAGTTATTATAACTCCCTGAAAATTACAGTGCGAGACTTAGTTTCCTTGAATTGTTTCTCACAGCGTCCAAGGTTCGTCAGCCAGTTAAACTCTCATCGCCAAACACTCCGTCGACCTCATTCGCCACATCTCTGCTCTAATTGGTTGAGAATATTTGGCGCGACAAATGAATCTATAAATAGCCTGAAAATGTACCACGCTGGGACCCAGGCCTTACGATGTATATGACAGATATGCGCGCCCGGGCGATTGGCTCTTGCTAATGATGTCTTTTTTTTTTCTTTTTTAGGTGGGGTGTTTGGTTTGTATGATGGTAGAATGGATTCACTGATCACGCAGTCTGCAGAAGGAACCAATCAGGTTTTTTATTGGGGAGATATCAATGATTCTTTACCGTGCTAACCTTTAAAAAAAAATAACAGAAACAAAAAGTAGAAGGTAAAATGCAAGAAAGAAACCGATGACCTCTTTCTCAGGGCTCTTTCCTAATTGTCCCATCGTGCAAGAGATGGAGAGAGACAGACAGCTAAGAGGGACCCCAATATCCGGGTTTTTCGAGGTGCGGGATTTGCCTTATTTGAATATCGGGATTCGGGATATTAAAGCAAAATGGGGGCGGGATTCGGGTGTACATGGAAAGAAGACTTTTTACCCAGTCTCAAACTAGAACTCAAGGCAGAGATTCTTGTCACTTGATTTCTGTCAGTGTCTACTACTAATAATTATTTCTATGATCTATCACTTTTTTATTGTTTTTTTTTTTTACGTAAAATTCTAAGTCAGACTTTTTTTCTTTCTCCATTACATGTAGCTCAATACTTTGGTCACTCGGCACATTTTACCTTTCATCATTTGTAATTTGCTGTTCTTTTTTCTCTGTTCTGGTAATATATTGTAATGTAGTAGAAACATCTTGAAATAAAGCAAAAAATGAAGAAAATCTGAATTTGAATCTTGATGGGATCTCCACTGTTTTAGCACATTGGTATCTACTTGTCAGCGGGATGTTCAGTTCTTGTCCTCTCTTCAGTAGCACCCAACGACCAAATGTTTCAAAACACGTCTGAAGTGCATTAATTGTTTTTTTTTTTCTGTTTATAAGCATGCTTGGTTGAAGCTGCCCTAATAGCTACTTTATATCTGTTTGGATGTCGTAGGCAAACGTTTTAGGTGCCATTTTCGTCTCCCCCGAAACTGTTAGCTACCCTGATGCGTCCGGTCGAGAGTTCGAGGACATGGAGTATAGCCGTTCTTTCCTTTGAAATGACAGAATAGAAATCCTGATGGCGTATCATTCCAAAGTTACACACCTATACCATCATAGGCACCCATCGAATTACATGTATTCACAAACCCTCCCATAAACACCCGCCTGGAATTCGATTTCAATGGTATAATAAGACTCGACATTTGCAATTCACAATATCACGTTAGCATACCTGGCAACCCTCACCATTTTTTATCTTTTCTCACGACCTCACGACAAGACTCCCAATCTTACGATTTTTGGGAAATATCATTCTGAAATGAAATGTTACCCTGACGAATAAAAACGGAAATTTCGTGGTGAATGCTGGTGTCTGTTTACGTCTTGATGAGACTTTGTCTAACATTTTAGCCATGAAGTTGGCTTTACCGGAAAAAAAAAACTACTCTTTGCTGTAAGTTTCGTCCAAGTGATGACCTATTCTCTGGCGTCTTAAATTCATCAAAGAAAAAGCGGTATCTTTTTTGTTGCAAGAGGGACCACATCAAAACAGTGTTATATTTAAACAAACAGATAATTCCCCCAATGGAAAAAGGGTTCTTTTAATCTTGATCCAGAAAAAAATAGAATATCACTACTTTTTGTAGAATCTCCCGATTTTATTTCATGAGCCTCCAGATTTTCTTTTATCAGGGGCTGGCACTAGGTTGCGTTAGATGCATCCCGTGATCTAAATTTAACTTTGGTCACGCTACGTCGCGTATAATTGATCGGTGATCTTTCTACGATGATACGCCCCATTCTTTTCAGAAGTACGCAGTTGCGTCTGAGGAAATTAAAATGGCGCTGGGATCCTCGCCTTAGATGCACGTAGATTCTTCCACTTAGTACCTTTTCTTCGACAATAGGCATTAGCTTGCACAGGTATTTGACAGTTACATGTAATTGATTTCGCGTGACTGTATCGTCTGTCTAGACTAATCATCTCGTCGCTATCAGGAAACATTGTACATTACCATTTTTGTTTCAGAAGAAACCTTCGAAGGAACACGAACTCTGTGGTGGTCTGACTAGCACCTTTCAGGGATGAATTAATTCTTATTTGGAATCACCTGAACGACCCTGAAGCCTAATTATTCAGATAAGCGACAAAAAGTCTTTGACAAGAAGAAGGTGGTAAGTTGAACGAGAATTTTGATGTGTTAGCGTATTTGCAGGTTCTGAACATAGGATCATGGTATAGTTTCTCATAACGTTCTCCTAACTAAAGAGACTTAAACAAAAAGGTTGTTAGAAGCAATCTCAAAATACTTCTTCTCAGTGTATCGATCAGTTGTTACCCTTTAAACAAAGGCTGTTGGCGGACGAGTACCCTGGCACATGAAGGCATGTTGTTTACTGCTTTCCAGACAAGCGACCGATTCGTGTTCAGTAGGAGAAATTCGTTTCTTAGTTATTACTTGCCTCTTCTCTTGGTCTTTCTTGAGGTTGCACGTCTTTAGTAGATAATGTTTACTCTTTCGAAAAAAATCATATTGATAACAATGTTTAGGTTTCTTTCTGATTTACATCATCTTTCTTCTTTGTAAATGCAAATAGTAATGTTAATGTCTCCGTATCGGTAACCAGAGACGCTCTAGTTGTATTTCTTGTGGTTTCTAACTTGGACCACATCTCGTTGAGGATTTATAAAACTTGAGATCTTTGTCAATTTAATTGTTTTTCATGGAAGAGAGTCTTGAGAAGAACTGATCATCAGGGAAATGATATCAGAGTTGAAAAGGGAAGATACAATTTGCATAATATTTAGATTTACCCAAGGCTAAAAGCGAACCTCTGGTTAATAATACTTATAAACGGGGACGGCAATGAAAATGGCATCAAGATCAACAGATCTAATTAGCAAAAAAACAAATTTGCACGGCCTGCACGCATTTTTGTCTTTCTTTGCTGTTGTTT